ACTGAATTCCTTGTCAGGCATTTCCAAGACCTGCTCTCTTTCCAGAATGGAGTCCAGGTCTACCTCTAGGTCATTTGCATCAGATATTTTATCTTGTTTCTGTACATGTGCTGATGTGGACACCTGCTTTTGCTTCTTGGACATGTTTAGTGTTTATCTGTGGCCTTAATACTTAATTGAGTATGTGTTTTGGTATATCTTGTGCTTTCTGATTGCTTCCAAGTAGATGTGATCAGGATGTGGGTAACTTTCACAGGTGTTGTCTGCCTCCCTGGTGTATGGCAGTTGGTATTGGTTCTTGCCAGGATTTTGGTGTTTTATAGAGTGTGATTGTAGCTTGACTATATGGCAGCAGTTTCTGTCTCTTCTTGGGTAATATATAGAGAGACAGAAGCCCCCAAAGGTAGAAGGAGGAGCCTAAAACAGCTAAACAGTGATAGCAAAAAACAAAAACAAACAAACAAACAAAAAAACTAGACTGGATACTATAGTCTATAATAGCAGAAAAGGGAGTGGAAGGAGAGAAGAAACAAAAATCTGAGTATGACTTTAAATGTCCTCTTTCAGATTCTTGTCTTCAAAGTTGCCTGAAAAATTTCAAGATGCTACTGTTGGTTGTTATGATGTCCCTCTGGATTTAATTTAATTTTTGGCCTGTTTTGTTTTTAAACTCTCTTTCCCTTTCCACATCCCTTTTCCTTATTGAGAAGAAAAAAAAAAACAAAAAAAAAAAACAAAAAAACAGTGCAGGGCCAGCTCTTGGGCTTAGAGTATCTGTGCACATGTCTGGCAGAAGAACCCACTAGTGGTGAGGAGAGCAGAGGGGTGTCCATTCGCTCAGGCACCTCCTCTAGTCACCAGAATGGAGGTGCACAAACAGTGGGGGGAGCAATGAACAGACACCAAGAAAATCAGAACAAAGCAAAACCAACAAAGTGTATTGTCCACCTTTGCTCCAAGGTTCTCGAGGCGTTTTTCCATGGTGTGTCTGCTCCCCCACTTGGTCTTGCCATTTGATCTCCCCCAAGTTGTCGGCTCCAGGTCACTGAGCCCAGCAGATTCAACAGTACATGATTTCTTCCTTTCACTACAAGTTCCACTAGTTATAAGCCATCAAAGTTTTTAAAATATTCCTACCTATGTGGTTCCGAGTGTTGGAGCTCTGCCCTGAATCTGCTTTGCCTGGTATTCTGTGGTATTGCTGATGGAGGACCTCACTGCACCTCTACCCTAGCTGCCATCAAGCCCCACCTCCCTTGTTACAGGCCCTGATTCAGCCTGGGAGCATGGGATGGAAAGAAATTAGAGGGACAATGGGGATTATGTCCTTAAAGCTAAGCAGAATGAGGGAGTGAAAGAAAGGAGTTCACAAAAATACTATTAAATGAAAATTTAAAACACTAAAGAAATATGCTAAAATAAAAATCTCTGAGAAGTACTCCAGTAATGCAGCTGCTTTTGGAAAATCAGGAATGGAGAGGGGAGAGAGAAAATGGGGAGGTTATACACAACTAACGCTACCATTCTATTCAGTGGTTTATAACCAAAACATTCATTAAGAAAAAATAATAAGTTTTAGACATTTAAGTCCACCAAGCTGCTACTAAACAATGACTTTCACACATACTCAAATAAGCTTTTCCAACTGGTGCACTTCATTGCTAAGTTGAAATGTGGTTTTCCCCCACTACTTAATTTTGGAGAAGTTCTGGTGTGGTGCTGTCAGATACGCATTGGGCTTTTAACTGCAAGATTGGTGGTTGAATCCCACCAGCCACTCCTTGGAAACCTTAAACAAGGCCTCTATGAGTCGGAACCAACTCTATGGTTGACTGAACAGCATTTAACAAGAACAACAACTTTATGTTGGGACCTTGGGGTGGCTATAGGTTAAGCATCAGACTGCTAACTGCAAGGTTGATAGCTGCACTGCTCCCAGAAATCCTAGATAGGGTCACTCTGAGTTGGAACCAACTAGACAGAATTTAACAAGTTAGGAAGCACTTAGGAAGGCAATCTAATTTAAAATAGTTTATTTTCCTAATCTTGTTTTCTCTTGTTTTCTCTGGCCACACTACAGCACTCTTATAAAATTATTTTTAAGTACACACCTCAGCTATAACTTCAATTACATGCACTAGCTTAAATTGGGACATAAATACTTAAGAACTGCATTTGGTGATTTTTCTTAAGTTTCATCTATTTATCTTTAATAAAAACAATATACAAACAGCTGAACTAAGTCTTACATGACTAAGTAAAAATATATATAATTAACATTAACATATATGTAGATATGTTAATTAAAATCAAAGTACACATATTTTCTGTCATACTGAGAAAAGGGATTTCCAGAAAGCTGTATACTTAATACCTTTGGAAAACAAAAGCTCACACAGCACAGTGTTCTTTGAAAAGAAGTGTTTTACAGAATGCAAAGCTGCTGACAATATGGTGTCAAAAAATGATGCTGACACTCAGACACAAAACAGGAGTTTTCCTATTAAATATCTGTTAAGAGAACATACCTCTTTTGCTTTATATAGTCTCTCAACTGGAACAAGCCATATGACAAACAATTTTTCATTAATCTTTTTTGACCCTTTCACTGAGAAGTTATTTTATGAGCCAAGATTTAGTGACTGGCATAGTTATTGAATGATCACGAATGTCTTCTGGATTTAATCACAACAGAACTCTTCTGCACTTGATTATCTCCCCACCGGCACAGCAGTAACACATAAAGACAAACCATTTCTAGCCACACAGAGATGTGTGATCGAAGTACCATAATTTCTTGACTTCAAACCACATCTCTCTTCCATTTCAAGTTTAGTCATTTAATTTACTCATTAAATTCAGAACATTAAAACCAATTGGATCCAGGTAAGATAAAATATAGCCAGTTTCAGGTCTTCAAATTCCTTGTTGTGCTTTTTCTTTTCCTTAGACAGGTTCTTTACCTACAGGCCCTTTATCATCATGGAAAATTAATCACATTACTGCTTAGAGAACAATAGCAAAGTGGCATTCCCTCCTCCCTTGACTGTCATCATGTCAGCAATGTTACAAAGTCACGTGGTGACTTTATTTCACTTGATTCCTTTAAGGCACCCTTCTCTGTTATAATAGCATGCTAGTTACTATCACTGAACTACATTGTAATTATAATAATATTTTATGGCTGTGTGGTGCTTTTCATAGCATAAAAATATTACTTTGAATTATATCTTGCTCAAAGCCTTTTACAAATAAGAAATAATTAACCCTTTCTCAAAAACCCCTGTGGGAAGTAGGCTGAAACAAATAATAAAGCCACCACTCCTATTTTATTAAATCCCTCTAGTAGGAAAGAAACTTTAATGTATTATGTAGTATAGTGCATTAACCCCTAGACTCCAGTGCCGTCTCAACTTAACGAGACAGGATACTCAAGATAACATGAGGAAACCTTACATTTTGATCTCGTATTTCAATATTCTGGATTTTTAAAATTTAATTAAAAGAATTGCATGCCTCAAAAAGCCAGTGATTTTCTGCTTTCAGAAATATATTGGCTCCATAAACCTACAGATTGAGTAAATGCACAATAACAGTGGAGTCCTAACCTGGTGCTGTAGGATAAGTACTGGACTGCTTTACCGCAAAGTTGGCAGTTCAAACCAAACAATTGCTCACAGGAAACCCTATATAGGGTCGCTATGTGTCAGAACCAATGATATGGCACTTAACAACAACATAGCAGTGGTTATCAAACTTGAGCATCAACATCACCTAGAAAGCAGGTTAAAACAACTGCAGAGCCCATCTCCAGGGCAGCTGAGGATCTATCTGCATTTCTAAAAGGGTAGCAGGTGATGCAGTTGCTGCTTACTAGGAAACCATAACTTGAGAATCACTGAACTGTCTTGAACAATAGGGAGTGATTTTGATACCGCTATCTGGCTTCTTACGGATCATGGTGATTATAGAGGACAGACACTGGACTTTAACACACGAGGTCTGCAGGTCAAGTCCACCTCACCTCTCAAGATAAAAAAAAGATGAAGTTTCCTGGTGTGGAACTGTGGAATAAAGCACTAGATCTCAAGGTCAGTTTGAACCACAAGGTAGGAGGTTGAAACACACCCACTGCTTCTTGGAAACCCTATATATAACCGCTATGGATTACAACCAACTCGACAACAACAAAAGATTTACAGCCTCTGAAACCCTATATAGATAGGGTCGCTATGATTTGGAACTGAGTCCAAGGCACTTAACGTAATAAATCTGGCATCTTAGCTATAAAAGATCACTTTTTTGTATTTGCCCAATTCATTTCAAAATAGGAGAAAAAAATTCCCCTTGAACGCTATTCAAGTGAACCCAATCCACTAGTTTATTTTTTAAAAACAAAGCCCTGAAACTCTAGAAGGAAGATACAGCTCCCCAAGGTGAACAGCAAGCTTCTTTCTGTACTAGGTCTAGTCTAGGGAATAAAAGCAACATAGCCATGTTTACTTTCCTCCGGCAATCCCTTTATTCTTAAAGGACTGTTTAACTCCTGTTCTAGAATCAGTTACATTTGTAGTGATTGAAATTACCTTGTGTGCGCACGGGATCTGACATGGGACTGGGGTCACTGAGACCTTGGGGGTTGATAGCTCTGACCATGAATAAGTAGATCGTATTGGGCCGCAGTCCTCGGACAGTGTAGAGGGTGGTCTTTACATGGTTTGCCACTGTCTGCCAGCTATTGCTTACTGATTGGCTGAAATAGGAACAGAAATTTCATTTAGAAAACATTTGTAAAGGTAAAGATATCCAAAATGTGGTTGAGTATCTATGACAAAGGTTAATGGCTGAAAATTAAACACACACAAACACATACACATGACACTTGAAGTGCTCAGCCCAATAAATGAAACATTTGGATGGTTTCAGTTTATTCAACAACAAAGCCGAGCCCACCTAACGGAAGTGCCATGCACAACAAAATTAAACTCAGCCCAGAAGATGTGCCAGCCCTTTGCTAATGCACAGCAACCCACTAAATGAATACCTGTAAAAGGAACAGAGGCCAAGATCACAACATCAAGTTTATACAATAAATATGGTCCTTGTAAATGTATATACCTTGAAAAGAATTAACCTGTAGAAAGAATAAATGGACTACAGAGTAAATTATGCCAACAAAAGGTGTGTTTTCTTTTGCATCACCTCCACATGCAATATTATAATAGAGCCTTTTAAACTACATATCTGTAAAAGAAGAAAGGAAGCATGTAATGAATATTTTCTGTTGGTCACATTTTTAATAAAATTGTACATTATACAATAATGTGATTTCTCATCTGAGAATGGTAAAAACGTCACTATATCTGTGTGCAGAACATTTACCAGCCAGTCACAGATGGGACATCAATTTAGAGTACTTTGTCTAAGGTCAGATGCTACACTTGCTCAAAATGTGATTTTCATGTATGCCTGTTTATTTTTCAGGATTCCTTCAGCATTAAGGCATGAAAATAATAGAAAAATACTTTTGTGATATCTGAAAAGTATACATCTGCCATAACCTTAAGAACAGATTAAGGAATCCTAAAATGATCATTGTTCTAATCTTTGGAAAGAAAGCTAGTAGTTATTATACCACCTTTAAAATGTCAGATAGAAGTACATTGAAACCTACAGTTTCTCATCTTATCCATTCATGTTATTCACTCTGCAGAAGGTTATCATGGTATTGACTCCACTTATTTCAAATAAATATCTTTTCCTTACAACAACCAGAAGCACATGGAATCAATTTTTTAATTGTGGCTTTTAATTTTCCATCATGCATACCCAACAGATGAATTCAAATATACAACATAAAAAACAGAAATTATTTTAAGTTCTGCTCTGATTATTGCGAAGAATGATTCCAGAGTCCCATGCCTCAATAAACATTGTACAACTTAAAAAGTGTCTGTAGCTAATTAAGTTACTTTCTGCCTCGATCAAATGTCAAAATTTGAATCCAAAATCCTTACAGTACCAGAGTAAAGACAGGAGCTCAGTGATTGTGTCATGAAACAGATTCCTAAAGACCTAGGCTTGGATAATTAAGTGATAAATGAAGAAAATGGCAGAATCTGTTCTTTATTAAAGTCAGATATAAAAGATTAATTCTTAAAACAAATTGAGCATGTAAGTAAAATAAAATAGCAAGAGAGTTCATGTTAGATTTTTAAATTTAGGAGTTAAGGTAAAAACCCAATGGAGAAAAAAGGAACAGTCCCATACCTAAATGCTTCAATGATATATGCACTCGCTGGAAGAGTTCCAGGGGTACCTGGTTGCCAGGACAAGGTGACACTGTTCTTAGAAACATCAGTGACCTGTGGTTTGGATGGTGGTCCTGGCAAGTCCTTTAAATCATAATTTTTACTGATTGTTGCTCCAGATTCTATAGACGAAAAATAGTTTAGAAAAAAAGAAAATTAACGTCATTCCTGATTATATAAGCTGAAAATGTTGCTTACGAAAATGATAAATAGTCTACTAAAGGAGTTGATCCGGACAGAGAGCAATTCATCTTCATTTTGAATTAGAAATATATAAGTGAAAATTCACTCTTACATGTTAATAAATGTTGACTTTACTTTCACACATGACCACTAGAGTTGCTTTCATTTTAGACAGAGAGAATAAAATAACAAGGTCACCAAGGACATTAATCAAATGATACATATGCAGTGCTCTATGTCAAGTGGTGCAGCAATTCAAAAGTAGTGTAAGATTTTGTTTTTGCATTCAATTAATTTATAATATTGATCTGTCCTGCATATGTTATTTGATAATGAGCTAATCAATAAATGGGCTCAGGGTTTCTGTTGTTCAGGTAATTCACAAAGAACTCACCAGTCACATCCAGCACAGCACTCCAGGATGTCTCCCCACTTGAACTTGTAGCCACACAAGTATAGGTGCCAGTATCAGAAATCTACAGCGTACAGAAGGGTCAGAATTAAATGGCTTTAATCATTTTGTGAGATAATTACTTGATCTCAATCTGCAAATATTCAATTTAAAAAAAATATATCATTTGACTTTCCAAACTCTATTAGAATCAATAAGATAAATGCATAAAATATTAAATTAAACTCACAGAATGCTATTTTATTTATAACAGATATTCAAAGATTTTTAGTTTTAGTTTATGATTCTACACCTAGATATTTGTCTGATAAATGCCATTCTTCTCTCTGCCCTCTTGCCTCCATGGTAATATTCATCTCTTAACTCCATTTTATGGTATGGCTTAACTGTGTCGGAACTAGATAATAGACAATTTAGCACAGAATATTTTCAGCTTCCTATAAACACATAATGTAAAGTTATGCTTTCTGTATCAAATACATTACATTTCATTAGATAAAAGGTAGCCATGATGAAAGAAAAAATGAAGCCAACCGTTCATTTCATTTGAAAGAAATGGGGAAAAGCAAAAAAAGGCACACACACAGACACACACAAAAAAATGACACATGTACACACAAAAACCTTGTTTTAAAAAGAAAAGCAAATCTTCCCCTTTAAACAGAGCAGTACTCAATTTAAGCTATGGCAGTGTGTAAGTGAAAGAAACAAAATTGTGTAATTAAAAACTAAACAAACCTTGTTTTTGGAATCACTGCAATTTTTAGCTAAAAGGGACTAGAGAACTAATCTAAGGTATGTCTCTCTTTTAAGGCATAAAGTTTGCCATTTCATTTATCATATTTATTATTAAATAAAGAATGGAAAAAGACTTTTAGAAAGAGTTGGAAACATCATCAAGATTTCTCATTCACAAATGAAAAATGACTCTGTGAGCACGTCTTAATGAAAGTTCAAGATTAATAAAAGGTGTAACTCAAAAGTCCTCATTGTGATTGAGCCCTATGTACTTATAGTACAAACAATATACTTTTGCATTAGCTTGAGAGTGAAGAAAAAGTGATATGGAAGAAACACTGATGACCAAACAGAATATTGCAAGTCACAAAAGGTAGCATTTGAATTCTGTAATGAACAGGAGTCTATCTAATTCTTAATGGGTTATGGGAGTTCATGGTATATTATATCTGCTGGGTTCAAAATGAAAAAGTATTGATGACTCCAGCTTCTACAATTGATTCTCAGGTAAATCATTAACACATGGATGTGACTGCCACTGCACCATTTTAATTGATTTTAAATGCCATTATATATTTTAACTTAACTTTCAAATTGCTCTGGCATGTCATTCTTTACCATATTATCTCTGCACAATCGTCTTCTATTATGCAGAGGAATGATGGGTATAGCCATTGTAAAAAGAACCATTCTTCCAAATGGAGCTGTGCATGCATTATAGTCATTAGAAATCTTTGCATTTAAGAAGCATCACTCACAAACTAAAAATAATGAGCTGAGGTTGGATTTTAATGGGATATTCATTTGAATATGGTCTGTGGAAGAGGAAAAGAATTTGCATTTTATTATAGCTGTTGAACAAAAAACGTGGCACTTGCTATTACACGTGCAAATGCTAAAAGAAGAGTATGTAGGTAATGTTTCTTAACTGCATTTCCTTGTCATTGTGTGGAGATACAAGTCTGACATTAGCTGTGGTAGGTATATTTTAATGAGTGTTGAAAAATTCTACTCCTCAAAAGATACAAATTCAGTTACCAATTAGCTGGACTATGAGGACTGAGCATTCATCTTTTTTTTTTTTTTTCCCTAGTAATAAGTACTAAAAAAGAAATAGTGAGACACAAAAGACTATGACCTATAGAAATCCTTTCTTGACTGCATAAGTGAAATACTATAAAGCACATTTTTATTGCCCTTAAAATAAAGCCATCTTGCAGGAAAAAATAAAAGAAGAAAATTTTCATTTGGAGTTTATCATAATTGCTATCAAAAGTCTAAATATCAATCACTGTTAAAAGCCATTCTTGTATCACCATCATCATCACCACATTCATTGTTATTCCTTAAACTTTAAATGATGTCTTTTGTGGTCATGAGTATTTCACATCTTTTCCATCCTTGTCCTTTCATCTTTGCCCAAGTGCTTTAAAATGAGATTAATATGCTGGCACACTCCATCACCTACTTTTCTCCTTGCGTAGCTGGCTGCAGACCAGTCCCCAGGAGTTTGCCTCTCAGAGAGACCACTCAGAAGCCTGTCAGTAGGCTCAAAGTTTGGAATCATCCAGCACCTACCTTTAATTGCTTCTTTCAAACACTACTGGGGAGCTTGACTATTCAAGCACACCCTTTAGTTCTGTGGTGCAGTGAAAATGCATTAACCTCCTTGGCCCAAGACTCCCTTTAGCCCAGAGAGGTTAAAGTGTTTACATATGGAGACTTGGCATTAATTTTTTAATAACTTCCACTTTGTTCAAAAAAGTTTAACAATTAATTTATGATCAATGATAAGACAGGCTAAAAATCTGTATTAATTTATTTTTCTTTTATTTGAACTTGACAGCATTGTTTTCATCTTAGAACAATAATTAATGTCTGTGTCTCAAAATTAAATGTGTGTATGTCTGTGTGTTTGTGTGTATGTACACATTTGCAATTATATGAGCCACAAAAATATAAATTTCTAATATATTATATGAGCCATATGATAACACTGAAAAAATAGCCAGATAAACATGTAAATATTTTTATACCCTAAGAGAAAAATATTACAAATTATGATCATCTGAAAACATGTGCAATAAAAATATTTTATTTTATCTCATGGTTTGTGAGTGGAAAAGCTCCACTATATTGTTTTGTTTTTTTTGGTGTGTGTGTGTGTGTGTGTGTGTGGTTACCTCTTTATTCATCTTAGTTCACAATTTCTACCTGGACATCATACTCTACTGATTGTTTTCTCACTGAATAATTTTCTTTCCCTTTTTCTTCATCCACTATCATGCCAACTTTCTTAGGACTGGTTCTCATTCAAACTTTGTCATTTCTATTAACATACTCTCTGGCTTTAGCTCAGAGCGTGGGACATAGTTGGGAGTGCACTATATTTGGTCAAGTAAGATGAATATATGTGTGTCAGACAACTGGATACTTCACAATTCCCTCATCGTATTCTTATCTGTACAGTGTCTCACCTTGACTATGGGCAAGACCTGTGACTTGCTCCTGATCAATAGATCATAGTAATAAAGTGGTAGGATGTCACTTTTGCTAATTTGTTACACAGGAGTAGAATGCTTGCCTTGCAAGGAGACTTCTCCTTGATTATTTAAAAAAAATAATTGATCATTTGGGGAACATCCACATAGCAAGGAACTCTCACCAGCCAACAGCCAGAAGGAAACAAGTTATCAGTCTGATAGCCACAAAGAGCATTATTTGGAAGCTCTTCTCCCTGTCATTTTTCAGGTGAAACAATATCCGTGACTGATGCCTAAATGTAGTCCTAGGAGATTCTGTATCAGACCACCAGCTAAAAGTCAAAAAGTATTGCTACAAAATCATAGCCACATTCATTAAATGAAAATATCAAACCATGAAGCTACTATTTCTTAAAATACCCTCTCTTTATATCTATACACTTATGAAGGTGGCATTTCCATTTTTTCAACCCTTCTCTGAAGGATTCTATACTCTTCAATTTATACCATATCAAAATGTCAATTTTCACATTCTCAAGGGACTCGCATTGTGCTCATTTTAAATGCTTTTTGCATTTGGGAATGTAAAGCGCGACATCAGGACTTCAGGGTGGATGAGGTAAGGCTGATGAATTTCTTGATGGACAGCCCTGGTTACCACAGAAGAATCAGCAGTTGCATTGTCATGATGGGGGGCGGGGGAAATGTTTGGTACAACCTTCCTGATCTTTTCTTGCCAATCAGTTTTTCAATTTTCATAAAACTCCTTCATAATAAGTACCTGAGATTGTCTTTGTTATTAAAAAAAAAACAAAAAAAAACAAAAAAAAAACTATCAAGATTACCTCTTGGGAGTCCTAAAAACAGTTAACTACAACCTTCTGAGATCTGATCTCTCTGTTTTGAATTTAGCCCAGCAAAAGTCATTATTTTGATAGAACCTTTATTTTGAAGGCACCCTAAAGACTCATGGTGTGGTGCTGTAGGATCAGCACTGGACTGCAAGCCACAAGATCAGCATTTCAAATCCACCAGTAGCTCCTTGGAAACCCTATGTAGGATTGCTATGAGTCAACAGCACTTAACAACAACAAAGAGACTAAGACAAGTGTATTACTGAGAGAAATCTACTGACGTTCAAACTTTGTGTTTAGAATAAAATCATGCAGGTATGAACTGGAATCCTAGTAGCAACACTTCTTTATTTTCCTTCATAGATAAGTAATTCAATACTCAAAATTATACATTTTGAGTCACTCCTGAAGGGTCATTCTTTATCACATAATCCTTTCATAAAGGCCCAGCAATAGCTTGCTTATGTCTATACATAATCGCTTGAGTTGGAACCCCTTCCACAGCACACCACTACCACTAACATCAGCTAGACAAATCTATTTCCTAAGTACTCAGTTCCATTTCTTTTCAATTTTTCCCCACAACTCTTTGACCCAACCAATGTATTCATTAGCTAAATAAGACTTGATTTTCAAACCCCCTTTGTTTATGAAAGTAGGTCAGAAACAGTTGTCATTTTCAAATTACTTTAAGTAATATATTACAATTATTTATATTAAATGTTCAAAATCTAGCTTCATGGACTGCAAACATATAGATTGGAATGAGGGAGCAAAAGGTTTCTTGGTCTGCATGAACTTACGAGCAACTTTAGTAAAATAAGACACAACATGCCCTATAATAAAATTGTTGTTAAGTGCCTTCAAGTTGGTTCAGACTTGTAGATAGGGTTTCTGAGGAGTGGTTAGTGGGTTAGAACTGCTGAGTTTGGTATAGGATAAGCACTGGACTTCCAACTACAATGTCGGTGGCTCAAACCTACTAGCTGCTCCTTGGAAATGCTGTACACAGTGTTCTGAGTTGGAACTGACTAGACAGCACTTACCAACATAATAAAATAGGAGTCCTGGGTTGGCATTGTAGGATAGGCACTGGACTGCTAACTACAAGATCAGCAGTTCAAAACCACCAGTTTCTCCTTAGAAACCCTATGCAGGGTTGTTCTGAGTTGGAACCAACTTGACTGCACTTAACAATAAAAATATAATGAGATAAAAGGCAATTACACTAGGATATATGATTTTAAATTCACCACACAGTACTTACACTGAGATGAAAATCCAAATAAAAGCTTGACATTACTTACCCGTAAATTCTTAATCTGCAGTGTTCCTTGTTCTTGTATTGTTGCTCTTGGGTCTCTACCCAGAAAAGTAAATCCTTCCTTTAACCAGCTAATTACAGGAAGAGGATCACCAGTAGCTTTACATTTCAGTAATGCTGTACCATCTACTGCTAGTGTTTGGTTGGCAGGGCCTTGTAGGATTATGGGTGGAGGTCTATCTGTCAAAACTAAAAGATGAAGGTATTTTAGGGTATTTAAACTTCTATGAATTTCAGTAATCCTGACATCTTGACTTTAAAAGTAAGGTTGAATTCTCAAATTCACACATGTTACTTATAACATGATCTGCATTTTCTTTTATCCACACACAAAATATATGTACACATTTATTTGAACTTATCAAATAGCATGTATTTATGCATTTGTACTGTAGTGTTGGTCTTAATATTAAAATAGAAGATCATGAGTAATTTATTTCCAAAAAATCATTACATTTAGTCTTTAATTACAACAATATTACTTGGCTGATTTAATTTGACTCGTATATACAGTTAAAAAATAGCAGCCTTGTTACACCAAGTTTGTGATATGACAAAAATAGACTTTTACTTCAAATTCAGAGTATGTACAAACATATCAATTCCTCTGTTCATTTTGGGTAAATGTTCCATAACTTTACAAACTTTTGTTGTTATTAGATACCGTCGAATCAGTACCAACTCATAGTGACCTTATGTACAACAGAACAAAACACTGCCTGGTCCTGTACCAATCTCACAATCGTTGCTATACTTGAGTCCATTACTGCTGCCACTATGCCAGTCCATCTCATTGGGAGTCTTCCTCTTTTTTGCTGACCCTCCACTTTACTAAGCATTATAGCCTTCCCCAGGGACTTGCCACACTCAAGTGTGGCAGCGGTAGTGAGGTTGGCCCAGGATCGAACATTGTTTCGTTCTGCTGTGCATGGGGTCAGTATGAGTCGGTTCCGACTCGATGGCACCTGACAACAACAAGGGACTTGTCCCTCCTGACAATATGTCCCAAGAATGAGAGATGAAGTCTGGCCATCCTGGCTTCTAAGGAGCATCTGGCTATACTTCTTCCAACACAGATTGGTTTGTTCTTTTAGCAGTTCCTGGAACTTTTAATATTCTCCTCCAACACTATAACCCAAATGCATCAATTCTTCTATGGTCTTCTGTAATCATTGTTCAACTTTCACATGTATATGAGGTTATTGAAAATACCATGGCTTGGGTCAGACCCATCTTAGTCCTCAGACTAACATCTTTGCTCTTGAACATTTTAAAGATGTCTTGTGAAGCAGATTTGCCCAATGCAATACTGCAAACTTTTAACTCAGTGATTTTTTTGTTGTTGTTTCCATTTATCAAATATTCCTCTGTAGGAGCAATGTCTGGCCCTCCAGAGTATTTCAAAATGATTTAGGATGTACAGCACATGATTTTCCAATGCAAATTACAGTAAAGTAAAGTAAATTTTACTTCCTAATCACTCTTTCTACTTTTACCAAAGTAGTCTAGTGTGGCCTTGACATTTTGGGGGACTACTCCCAAAATTTCAACCCCAAATTATTTCTACATAAAATACCTTCAAACAGGATTGAACATAAAATTACCTTCAAATAATTTTTTAGGCACATAGAAGAAACAGTTATGGTGACTTCCTGGATATGTCCAGACAACTCATGGGATATGAGTTTAATGTGTTTTAAGGCTTAGAACAACTTAATCAATTGCCTTCACCTAAGTCATAAAGATAATATTCTACACCCTACTTTGATGAACAGCATGTAGGGACTTAAAAGCTTGCCAATCTAAGATAGAGCTATTGGTATCTCTTCATCTAGAGCAAAAGAGAAGAAAGGAAAGCACAGATTCAAGGAAGAGAGGAGATCAGTCTAATAGCTCATATGAACCATGGCCTCTTCTGACCTACATCCTGAAGAATTAAATGGTGCCTGGCTATTACTACTAACTGTTTTGACAAGGGACACAAAAGAAGATCCAGAATAAAATGGGAGAATAATTTAGAACAAAATTCTAGTTTCTAAAAATGTCAGATTTACCGGACTAATATAGAGATTAGAAGAACCCACAAGAGTATCACCCTAAGACACCCTTTGAACTGGACACTAAAACTACTCCTCAAGGTCATCTTTCAGCCAAACAATGAATTGGCTTACAATTAAAAAAAAGAATCCATGACTAATGTATGCCCTTAAACAATATATGAGACCAAATGGTCAACATTTAATAAAAATAAAAAATGAGAAAGCAAGGAGGAGAAGGGAATCAAAGGAAACAGAACAAACAAAAGGGAATGTCGACACATTGTGAAAATTCTAGTAAGTGTCACAGAACAATTCGTATAAAAATGGTTAAATGGGAACTCAATTCGCTATGTAAACTTTCAACAAAAATACAATTACATATATATTTTTTAAGTTATTATAGGTTTAAATGAAAAGCTCACTTGGTCCCTTCTGATGTTTAATTCATGTAAGATAACAACTGGTAGTGACTAAAGGTACACGTAGGTATCTTCCATCCAGTATAGCAAATGCATGTCTCAAAAACACAACGATGTGCCACAGGCCATGGAGAAGCAATTCAGAGGCACAACTAGGCACTTGAAATAGATATTTGTATTTCTGCAAAGGTGAATGCATATTATAATTTAAATGGGTGGTAGAAATATGGTACTAATTGGAGGCAAGTTTCCACCTATATATAGCTCATTAGAAGGTCACCTTACAATGAAGGAAATGAAACTAAATATTCAGATCCAAGGAAGTCTATTTTAAGAGAATATTCTGTACATTTCAGCTGAACGTTCTGTTAATTATCCAAAACATATTTTCATTTGAATATATATATATATATATCTGGTAGCGTAGTGATTACGAATCGGGCTGTGAACCTTAAGGTCAGCGGTTCGAAACTACCAGCTGCACCGCGGGAGAAAGATGAGGCTTTCTACTCCCGTAAAGATTTACACCCTCGGAAACCCTATACAGGGTCGCTATGGGTCGGAACCGACTCGATGGCACATAACAACAACAACAACAATATATATATATATATATTTATTTTGATAAAGGAAATTAAAGAAAGAAGAGTGGATTCTTACCAAGCAATAGTGATACGAAAAAGTGTTTTCTGCATATTCTGCTTCTTTAATCATTAATAGAGTTTTTATCTCAAGGATATTATCTTGGATTATAATGCATACAATCATAAAAGTCATTTTACTTAATACTCTAATCTCCTTTGTACACCAGTTGATCGATAGCAGCTTAAACGATTACCTACTTCTCAATCAATGTGCATAATTTTTGTTATTGGAGCTTACAATTTGGGGGGAAATATTAAAATTAATCTGGAGTACCAAGAACTGCTAGAGGAACAAACAGATCTGTGTTGGAAGAAGTGCAGTCAGAATGGCCAGAATTCATCTATCATATTTCAGATATATTATCAAGGCAGACTAGTCTCTGGAAAAGGACATCACACTTGGAAAAGTGGAGGGTCAGCAAACAAGAGGAAGACCCCAAGCAGACAGAGTGGCATAGTGGCTGCAGCAATGTGCTCAAGTGTAGCAGCAATTGTGAGGATGGTCTAGAACTGGGTACTGTCATTCTGCTGCATAAGGTCACTATGAGTCAGTACTGATTCAATGGCACCTAACAACATCTAGGGGTCTTGATTTGGCACTGTTGGATAAACAGTGGACTACTAAGTCAGGTTGAACCTCAAGGTTGGCAGTTCAAGGTCATCAGATGCTCCCTGGAAACCTTATGAAAGGTCGCTGCGAGTTGGAACTGACTTCTACTACACTTAACAACAACTAGAATGCCAGAGTCCTGGTGTGGCACTGAGGATAAGTACTAGACTGCTAATCAACCACAAAATCGGCAAGCAGTGGCTGGTGTGTATCAAATTATAGGTATATGACACTGTAGGATCAGCACAGGAGTGCGAATCATATGGTTGGCAGTTCAAACCCATCAGTTGCTCATCAGAAGACCTATACAGGTTTGCTATGAGTCAGAACTAACTATGACACGTAACAAGAACAACTATATATATATATA